GGCCTCTTGGGGCCTGCCCTGGGCTCTTGGTCCCATCCCTGGGCTCTTGGGCTCATCCCTGGGCTCGGAGAGCTGGGAGCCTGTTACTCTTGTTTGCCAAGAACGAGCTGGTCTCCTCGGTATCCCCGTCTCACATGCAGGCCAAGGCTCGTCTTGATGAAATGTATTAGGCACAGTCTATTGCGTTGCTGGCTTAAAAGGTGATAGCCAGTTGATCTGGTGCGACCAGACCTCTTCTGAGAAGGGAGGAATGCTGCTGTCTTCCCCCTGCAGAGCCTCCCTGGCATCTAGCTTGGCAAGTGCCAGCCGCCCCTGTTTCTGAGGCCTCTCTGCTGCCTGCCGTGCTCCCTGTGAGATGTCCTATTCTTCTGACAGCATTGAGTCAGATTCAGTGCTGCAAATTCACTGGGCGTTTATCTGGTTCTTTATCTTCTTCGTGGTGCTGCTGTTCAGTATCTTCACTTTGTCCTCTGCAAGCATTGCACTCTGAAGTGGCTCTGAAGTAAACGCTTAACTGGAGCAAACTGACTGGGTTATGGTGGCATCACCAGATGTAGATGGTTTTTTGCCTCATGAGTTTGGTGGTGCCAGGACTCTGGCTTTCCATTTGTCCTCCCTCTGACATAGTGAAGACAGAGATAATTGCTCTATGAGTCAGGATTTCTTAGTTTGTGGAGACAAATTTTAGATGGCATTGTAATTTCAGAGAACACTTTGATTCACGTCTGTTGTTAAAAGGCCTTTTTAATCTGTCTGAATGGTTTGAAGTGAAGTTATGAAGTAAGACTAGGACTATTTTACAGTGTCTAAACTCTGACACTTAAAATAGACAACTAAGTGGAACAGATACTTTTTCTCATCCTGATGATATAACTGTTTTGGGGTTTTTTTTGGATTTTGGAATGAAATGACTGTAAAATGCTGAAAAATTGTAAATGGTCCCTTCTGCCCCCTCAAGGATTTATTTTGGGTTTGGCTCTGTGTTTCTTCTAGAGAAATGAACTTCCACAATTACACGCTCGTCTCTCTGAATGAGGAATTTAACCGAGGCCGGGGACTTGACATGGGTGCCAGAGCCTGGGAAAAGGGCGAGGTCCTGATGTTCTTCTGTGATGTTGATGTTTATTTCACAGCGGAGTTCCTCAACAGTTGTCGCTTAAATGCTGAGCCTGGTATGTTCCTTTACAGTTGGTGTGATAGTCTTGTCATCTTGTTTGGTTTAAACTGACCAGTGTTGAGCATGTAGAAAACTGACTTGAATGGTAGAGCTTATTCAATACCACACACCTAGGAAAATTAAAAATACTCCGTGCACAAAAGACAATAGTATTTAGACAGAGAACTAACTTTTGCCTTAGTGGAGCTTGTTTTAAGAACACGTTGTCTTTTTTGTACAATAAGTAGAAGTTCCACATTTTCTTAAGATTTGGCTGTCTAAAAGAAAGGTGAGCAGTTTAATTGCTTTAACAATTACACTGCATGTAAATTTGTATAACAAAACTCAGTGTAGCACTTAAGGTGGAAGATTATTTTTGTTATACTGAAATCTCTAACAAGCTTGGCTTATGTCTTCTCACACTTGTACAGGCAAGACACATCACATATGAATGGTTTTCAGTAGAGCTACACAATGTGCTCTTTAGACTGAGATAATGCTCCACATTAACATATCAAGCTCTGAAATTTTCTGACCCTTTTTCTCAAGTTTGTATGAAGCTTCCTTGTTCTACAAGCTTCTACCAAGAAGGATAAAGCTTTCTTGAGTTAACAAACATACTAGTTAAGACCTTCTCCTGTCAAACATTTGTTTGGTTGGTTTTGTTTTGGTTTGTTTTTAATACTTACTCTTACTTCAGTTCTGTTGCAGCCAAAAACCATTTTCCCCAAGTGTCAATTTGGAATGAATAGATATTTTTTCTTCACATAATAAACAGGCAAGAAAATCTGCTATAAGCCAGACATTTGGATTCTATTTCTTTCATTTCTGTTTGTATCTGTACTTCATGAAACTAGTTGTATAAATAATTTCAAAAGCTTTGGAGAGGAGCATCTTATGAGCTTTCACAAGGAAGGGAGTTTGAGAGACTAATTGCCTATTCATACTGTCAGTTTGTCTTCTTTGCTTCAAATGAGATCTCAAAATGCTTCTTACATGTTCAGAGTGCATGCCCAAATCAAGGTACTGAGTATTCTTACGGGCTGTCATCAATACCTTTGCGCTACTGGCTATGCAAGAGATCCTTGAAAAATATTTATCTGGCTTTTGTAATAGGCGTAGAACTGCTGTCACAGCATAATCAGGATACTCAAGATGCTTAGTGCCCTTACAAGATGTCCTGGATGAGCATACTTTTAAATGCTTGTGGAAAGAGACAAGCTCATAAAACTCAAGCTATATAAGGTGTTACTTGGACTTGGTTATTTTCTAGCTTTACTGCATATCATTATTGCAGGGATTTTTCACTGTCATCTATTGTGATATAGTGATATATAATAGATAAAAAAATTACTATCTTTGTATATAAGTATGTATAACTATATATAAATGGATACCTATAGAGTATATATAAATATGTGTACATACATTTCTTTTTAATTGTGTGGGCCCTGCTCCACTAGGTGTTTTGGGTTACCTAAACAGGAAATCCTAGCAGTTAGACCTTCTATTTTATTTTTTTTTTGTCACTAGATGGCTAATAGCTAATATTTTACATAAAGAGAATATTCCTTATTTCCTTTTGCCTTCAGAAAGTATGCCCACAGTGAGTAACGATTACTTTTGACTTCCAGGGAAAAAGGTTTTTTATCCTGTGGTATTCAGCCTTTATAATCCTGCTATTGTCTATGCCAACCAAGATATACCACCCCCTGTGGAGCAACAATTGGTAAGCGGTGTGATTTGTTCTGGATAGAATTAGTTGTGCTTGGTATTAAAACAAAATTAAGTGTAACTTAATAGTCTGTTTGGGATATCTTAAGACCTTTGGCAGTGCATATCTAAACACCTTTCTCCCTTATGAGCAAAGCACTTAAAAGCTTATCAAACAGAATAAAACTCATTCTTAGATAAACTTGGAATTCTACCTAGATTTTAAAAGAAAAAAAAAAAGTGCTATTAATCAAATTAAGTCTGATCTGTTGCTTAATTCTGGCTTGGGAAGACACTATTTTGGGAGGATAGTGGCCTAACATGGCAGCAATTTTGTTTTATGTTCCAACAAAGAAGTGATGGAAGGGAAAAACCATGAACGGTGCTTTGATAAGCTTCCCTCAGTATCGATTACTCTTGGTGAACTACCAAATGGTAGTTGCAGGAAGCGTGCCGTGTAACTTGAGGTGGGCAAAGAAGTTCAGTCAGTTGTGTTTTTTGTTCTGTGGACAGCTGTACTCTGTGCAAACTGTTTCTTTACCTTTGCCATCCACCATCTGCCAGAACCATTGGCTGTGACACTGCTAATTTCATCTTGCTTTTGGAATGAGAAACACTGCTTCTAGGGAAGTTTGTAGTCAAAATAATGAAAAGAATAAAACCCACAAACTTTCAAGAGTAGGTTTAAGGATAATTTGGGGCTCAGCAGAAAGAAGTACTCTATTTCTGAGTCTTTGTTGCCTGAAGATGAAATGGCCATGGTCAGTGTCCAGCCTGACTTGCTTTCAAGAGACTGTATAAATGAAATTGGGGTTTTGCATCTGGGACTTCTGAGGTAGCCGGGTTTGGAGGAGAGAAAGGAGAGTGCAATGCAGCCTTACTAGAAGAAAAGAAAATCATAACCCCCATGGCCTATGTTTTTTGCAAGGATCCTAAAAAAAAAGAAAGTCAGAGAAGTTTTTGCATATGGCCTTAGGTAATAACAGCTGAGAGAAGAGTGAGCTCCCGCCTGACAACTCTCCTGTTTGCTTACTTGAATCCAGCAACTTTATGGTTGCTGACTTCAATCACAAAACTTACTTTTCTTGTCATATCAGAACAAGAAGACAAATGTGGCCTTAGAAAAGGAATAGGAATTGGAGTATTGAACAGATGATTTCACAATAGGCTACCAAAAATTTACTACTTGGTCTGAGCAGTTATGTAGAAAATAGAGGTGGTGTGGCAGAAGGTAAATGTGGAAACTGCAATGAGAGTAAGTATTTGGAATCAGATGGCAAAGGGTGAAATGAACAGCAGGTAAATAGGAAGTCCACATCTGTGCGTGGCACAGAAATACCAGAAGTGTTATATGCTGTATCCTGCAGTGAGCAGATGATGGGAATAGATTAGCTTTCTCCAAAACAAAGCACAATGTACCTCCTTCAGTGAGTTTTGCATTTCAAAATGATATTGTTTTAAAATTGCAGGTACACAAGAAAGATTCTGGTTTCTGGCGTGATTTTGGCTTTGGGATGACTTGTCAATATCGCACAGACTTTCTGACTGTTGGTAAGATGAAAATACATTAAAAAAAAAAGTTTAAAAATTGATTCTCTGTTCTTATCTTACAACAGGAAAGTTAATTCCTTTTATTATTTTCCCAAGCCCAGCAGTCAGACTTGCTTGACAAGTTTGACCAATGAGATAGATTAATTTTTCTAGATTTCGATGTCCCATCTGATGAGTGAGTGTTAAAAGTTACAATATTTTTAGTATCAGCATTTCACTCTAGAACTTGTAAAAATCTTTCATTTTTTTGTACTTTGTGACTGTCTGAAGCCAATAATTAAAGTTTAAGAAACATGTCCCTCAAGCAAACTACTAACATAGACAAGAAGCATTCAAATTCTTTCTTTTAAATAAGCTTGAGTAGGTGAATAAAATTGTTCAAGGCTTTAGAACTATGCTTTGGCCCCACCTTGTGGCATGCTGTTAAAACTGAGAAACAGCTTGTCAGGCTTAAATCTGGAATACCCATCTTGAAGATAATCTGACAGAAGGTGCAATGATATAGCTCTGTGTGCTTTATAATGGCTTGAATGCAGGCTGATTTCTAATAGCAGTTATATTGCCGTGTGTATGGTATATGCTAAATGAAGACTTCATAATTCTAGAGTTTTGAAATTGTACATGAGTCTGCATGTATTTTCGCTGTGGTCCTGGAAAGGCAAGAAAATTTAAAATGGTGGAACAGGTTCCTTTCCTTAATCTAGCTTTTTGAGTTGTGACCTATGAAGTAATTGCTGGCATTTTTAGAGAGGGCTTTTCATATGGTGCATGACTGCTTCATTTTCCAGCTGCTAAAATCCATTATGATTGCTAAAAATAACCCAAAAGCATAGCCAGTGAGGTTTGCCTTCAGTTTTCTGCAGCTGTCACATGGGATGTCATGCATAATGCGATCTGGAGACACTGTTCTAAGAGACTTTCTGAAGCCAGCAGTGCATGATCTGTGTCCTGGGCAGTTTACACCACAAAGGATGTGGTATGCTTGAAGCTCCTCTCTCTCAATTCGGCATGCTTTGGCATGGGGAACTTCAAAGTTAATTGCTCCAGAATTTCTGATAAGTTGTACCAGATTTGATAATACATTATGCAAGGAGTGTTGCTTTTTTTTTGCCTTACATCTAGCCTGTGTGCTAAAATAACATTGTCTGATATTGTTTTTATAGGGGGTTTTGACTTGGAAGTGAAAGGCTGGGGCGGTGAGGATGTTCACCTTTACAGAAAGTACTTGCACGGTGACCTTATTGTGATCAGGACACCTGTCCCTGGTCTCTTTCACCTCTGGCACGAGAAACATTGTGCTGACGAACTCACTCCAGAGCAGTATCGCATGTGTATCCAGTCCAAAGCCATGAACGAGGCCTCTCACTCACACCTTGGGATGCTGGTCTTCAGGGAGGAGATCGAGACTCATCTCCGTAAGCAGGCTTACAGGACTAACAGCGAAGCAGTGGGTTAAATATCACCCCTGTGACATTTGATGACTTCAAATTCACAATGAACCAGCATCATTTTACAGCCTTAATTCAGCTTGAAAATGCAGTGCCTCTCTTTTTCAGTGAAGAAGAGTTTAGGAGTTTTTTGGTTCTTGTATTTGTTTTCCAAGTAATTCTTTGACTGATGTGCTATTACCTATGTATCTTGCAAGTTCAAACACCTCAAATAAATTGGAAAGCGTATGTAGTTCAAGGGAAGTGTCTTCAGTATTGCTTGGAAAAATCAGTGGAATGTACAACTCCACGCTTTTCCACATGGTACATTTCAATTCTTATATTTGCATTATTTTAAGAATTAAATTAAGTAATCTTTTGTGTTGTCTTGAGTATTTTCAGTCTGTATGGCTCACTGCACTGTGACTTTAGAAGGATACTATACTTACACTCCATTGTAGATACAAGAGAAAGGTGTGAGAAAGAACCTCAACATAAAAGGTACACAGGATGTGCTGAGTGGTACGCCAACTGTTGGGGTTGCTGATTTCACAGCAAGAGCTTGGTGCCACATTTGCTGTGTGAACAGACATTTACATGGTTGAATACAGAAGAATTGTTTTGAAGAGAGAGGAATTAAAATATTTTTAAGTGGAATTTTAGACCATTATAATGTAATTTCACACTGTGAGAGAGACACCACCTTCTTATCTTGGTGACGGATCAGACAAGTTAGGAATGTTCCAGTTGGGTGTTTCTGAGTCTGGTCTTTTCCCACAGTAGATGCCACATCACAGAATCCCTTCTATAAATTTGGCCATGCTATTAAACTCATTTGTTTAAAAATTTTTGGCCCCACTTCTCCTTATTCAAAGGTCATGCCTGTACATCTCATCCTTTAAGCTGAGGAACCATCTTTCCTTTCCCATGTAAGTTTATTAGAGGCCCATTTGCTATTATGCTAATATTGTCCTTTTGTTTTCTTTTTCTGGCATTTTCCTCGCATATTTTCAGGAGGCAGTTATATACTCCTAGATATTTCAGTGACTGAAGAAGCCAGTGCTATTAGTCTTTCTTCATATAATGCTCTCCATTCCATTTGTTATCCTAGTAGCCGTATTCTTCACTTTTTCAGTTTGAGGAGGATGTTTTAGATTTTGTTTGTTTTGTTTGGGTTTCCCCCCCACACCTCTTTTTTATTGTTGGTTGATTTTTTTATTTTTCTTTTTTTGAGCATGCATAAGCGGAATTGTGCTGTGGTCTCATTAGTGCCTTGTACAAAGGCACTACTACTTCGCTACTTTCCTTTTGTGGGTGTTTTGGGATGCATAAACAGTTTAAATGCAGGCAGGTAGGGTTTTTTTCCATGTTGTCTTATATGCTACCATATGGCATGCCTCATTTTTAACACATTTGTTTGTAGAATGAATGCGGAGAATGCTAATTCAGTGGTTAAACCATTTGCATGGTCTCTACTGAATTTAGAAATTAGTTGAAAGCCCTTCTCAAATCAGGTAATTAAGATCTGATTATGAATTCCATTTGCTTCAAGAAGTCTGAAAGCAACTAAAGATTTAAGTAGTTGATTTCTGAATAGCAAATATGCTGTGCAAATAGTTCTGGGCACTGATCCTTTTTAAATGTACATATGATTTGCCTTTATGTAACTTATTGTGGAGAACAGTGTACTGTATTGTACTTAGAGTGAAGAGAATGCATTGCAATACTTCTTGCAATTGATATTCTCAATATAATAAATGGAATTTCTGCATTTTAGAAATTGTTTTAAGCTCTTTCTTTAAAATAAATTTTTTAAAGAGTATTTTACAAGGCAGATGGCACGCTGGATTCAAGTAATAGTATTTGCGGTGAGAAGTTAGAATCATAGAATGGTTTGGGTTGGAAGGGACCTTAAAGTTCATCTAGTTCCAACCCCCCTGCCATCAGCAGGGACCCCTTCCACTAGACCAGGTTGCTCAAAGCCTCATCCAGCCTGGCCTTAAACACTTCCAGGGAGGGGACATCCCCAGCTTCCTTGGGCAAACTGTTCCAGTGTCTGACCACCCTCACAGTGAGGAATTTCTTCCTAATATCTAATCTAAACCTACCCTCTTTCAGCCTATAGCCATTTCCCCTTGTTTTGTCATTAGTAGCCCTTATGAAAAGTCCCTCCCCAGCTTTCTTGTAGGCCCCTTCAGGTCTTGGAAGGCTGCTATAAGATCTCCCCGGAGCCTTCTCTTCTCCAGGCTGAACAGCCCCAACTCTCTCAGCCTGTCCTTGTAGGAGAGGTGCTCCAGCCCTCGGATCATCCTTGTGGCCTCCTCTGGACTTGTTCTAACTGGTCCATGTCTCTCTTGTGTTGGGGGCTCCAGAACTGGACACAGCACTCCAGGTGGGGCCTTACGAGAGCAGAGTAGAGGGGGAGAATCACCTCCCTCAACCTGCTGGCCACACTTCTCTTGATGCAGCCCAGGATATGGTTGGCAAGTTCAACAGTTCCCTTTTGTATCTCAAGTGAGTATCTACCCAGACCAGGTATGAAAGTGCAATTAGTTTAGGTTGTCTGAGGAACTTACACCATATGTTACGTTTACTCTAAGATGTCTTGGTAATTCCTAACAAAAATGATAAGGTACCAGTAAGGAAAAGATAAAATACATAGGCATGATAATTTGTGGTAAAGATGTAAGTGGGACCTTCTACTGACACTCCAGCACTTAAATCTTCAGCTGCTACTGCTGTCCTGGCTCTGCTGCACAAGAATAAGCATCAAAAATGCCTCTCACTGACACCACCACTGCTTGGCATGCACTGGAATGGATACTGAGGTAGTGCAAAGGTGTTAAGCTTTGCTGCAGCTCAGCTCTTCTATTCAGCCATTACCTCAGAAGGATCTAGTTGTCCTAGTTCCCATGTTTTGGAAACACAGCAGACTGCTGATGCTAATAGCTGGATCTCTTACCTTCTGCTATTTTCCACTGGGTGGTTGTGCTTATCAGCAATGGCAAGGAAGGAGAACAGTGTCAACTGTCCGTATCCATAAAATCAAAAATGATCTACAGTATTGATCCTGGAAGGCAATCAAGGAAGTCTGGAGGTGAATGCAGTCAACAGGAGCTACTTTTGAAAACTTTCTTTTCCATTCATTGTCCCAAAATGTGCAAGTGAATGCATTGGAGTTAAAAGAAAGTCAGAACTCTTAGAAATAGTCAGGGTTGAGTATTGACAAAAGTAGTCTGAATGACTGATTATTTGAGGACTCCTAAACTTTCAGGGGTCCTTGCATGCCTGATCTTTCTCTTGCCTTAGTTCAGCTCTGTGCAATAACTGCTTGTGTAAGAACATGTTGCTGTGGTGCACGTCAGCTGGGCAGCTTGTTAAGAGCATAGGCAACCATCACCTATTGCATCCATTACAAAAACCAGAGAATATGGGCTGTGTCCTGTGTTAAGTCAATGTGAGGTACTTGCAGCCCAATAAGTAGTAGCAAGAGCAAGAATAAGCACGGAATCTCCTCGGGTGCATTTTGCTGCTGCATGGTACTGGCCTCACTGCATGCATCTACCAGGAAGGTGGTTTTACTGCTGACAATCCATCTGTAGAACATTTACAGCAGGAAAATACTTGGCTCTAATAGTGTTTTACAGGTTGTGGGGTAGCTTATTAGCACCTTTGACATTAGAAATTAAATCAGTTACCTAAAAGCTGTTATTCATTATTTGAAATTTGCACTTCCAGGGAGTTATTAATTCATGTACACAGTTCATGTTCCCTAATGACTTACCATTTTATCTACTCATTTGTCTCTAAATTATTATATAATTAGATTAAAAATTATAAATAACTACCTTAAACTTACAGCTTTTAATTAAATCTTAAAATAGGGGGGTTTAAATTATAATTCACAAGTATTTTAATGTTTGCTTTTGGGCTAGGCTACAGGCTTGACTATTTAGTTAAAAAAGATATTTGAATTTCTTACATTCGATAATGATTGTCCTTCACTGAATTAATAGGTCTTTTTTTCAAAATAAGATGCAATGTTTTCTTGTAAGCAAGGCCCTCACTGAACTGATGACTATTACACAGCTGGATTATTTTGTCTATTTTTAACAAGGATTCCCCAGAAGAGGACAGGATGTTTTGTGTATCCCTAGTAATCCCAAGATAGATAGAGAAAATGTGAGACATACAAATTGCAGAGAAAATGATTCTGTTCTGCATACTGCTTCAAAAGTTACTCAGTTTTATGCAAATACATCATAATATCACCACATGGCGACTGCTTTCCTGGTCCCGTTCTGCTTTTCACCATTCTTTGGGAGATTTTCTGGCAAAAAGTCCTGTGGAAGTACATCACTCTTTCTTGTTGCTCCACCATAGTCTTGGGGAAAGGCACAGGTACAGCTAATTCAGGACTCAAATTTTGCAGTTGCTACTAGTTATTGCTGCATTACACCAGGTAAACTGATCAAGTGTCTTCTCTATGTTGCTGTGGATGACAGTGACACTTTATGCTCCTGAGCAGTTGATGCAAAGCTAAGTTGCTGACCAGCACTGGTCAGAAAAATGTATGAATCTGGAGAGCAGTCTGTTTTCCCTAAGTCCTTAGCATACGTAAAAGAAATTGCATGTGCTGTATAAATACATCCTGAAAACTTGAGTGGCTCTTCACCTCTTTAAATCTCACATCTTGTTTCTTGTACTATGTGTCATCTCTCTGTACATGCTGCCTTCCTTATTAACCCTGTCTATTTTTCCTTTGGTATGGCTTCTCTCTTATTTCTTCCGCCTATGTGCCTTGAAGCCTTCAGCCTTTTATAAGCTCCAGTCCTGGCTCTTCAGAGACGCAGCAGCTGTTGAGCGTCCCAGATGATGGAGCTGCGGTGGGGCTGAGTGTTGATGCCTGGCAAGGGAAAGCCCAACGGCCAGAGCTGCAAGTATGACATTTACCTGCCATTTACCAGCTCTGAGAGCTGGCTTTAAAGCACAAAGGACTTTGTTTATGAACTCTGTACTACAGATTAGGCATTTTTTTCTTATTTTTGTATTTGCCATAATATTTCATGCTGAAATACAGGAAACTGTTATGAGAACATTAAGTTCATGGC